GCATTACGCGCCAGAAGAGACGAAGCAACGTTCACACGTTGGAGATGATGGTCATCAGAGAGTTCGCGAGGCACCCAAACATCTTCTTTAAGGAGTTTTTCCCATATCTCTTATATGTTTACATATTGTTTTATGAGAGACATACAATTTCAGGGCCATTTCACAACTGCGTTGCCTTGGGTTAGACTCAACAAACGTCTTCAGAGCATCAATATCCATTCCAACATGTCGGTCTATGCGTCACAGGTTTTAAGGCTATAGTCACCTGAATGAAATTTGCTGAACCATCGTTGACACTTACGAACGTTCAAAACATTTCCATAAACTTTTTTGATATTCTTTGTGGCTACAGAAGCGTTACTTCCTTTCTTGTATTCAAACAGCATTACATGCCGAATGTGTGTCTCGTCGTGTGCCATCACTATAAGGGATTAGAGTATACTAAACTTTACACATTATACAGGCTACACTAACGTGACGTTTAGGCGGTTCGTTTAACTATAATATGTCATGTATGTTTTTAGGGGGGTGTTAATGAAAGTGTTCCAAAACGCGCCATTAATTTCTTGATGACCTATTACTTACTGCTGATGATTTTATACGTGTATTATAAGAGTATTACGTGTATTAACGAATGATTTCACTCAATTTTGTTATTTAAATTATTTAATATGGGTGTTGTAACAGGCAAAAACATACTCAAAATGACGAAATACGAGTATCTCATCAGCAGTGAACGGTATTAAACAAATTAGTAATTCTAAGATAATGTCACACAACGCTTGGAGCATGCGCGCTGGAGTTTCTAGAAGGATCATGACTTATCGAGGAACCCCGCGAATGTCGCAGTGTTTGCTAGACGCTCTCTTTTTAGTATATAAGCCTGGAAAAGAAAGCCAGCAATAGACAGATAGATTGAAGAGATATAGATAGATCGAAGAGATAGATTGAAGAGATATAGATAGATCGAAGAGATAGATTGAAGATATATAGATAGATCGAAGAGATAGATTGAAGAGATATAGATAGATCGAAGAGATAGATTGAAGAGATATAGATAGATCGAAGAGATAGATTGAAGA